ACAAAGCAAACAGAAAGCGGGTTGAATACAAACAGCCAGTGCCATTTGGAGACAAATGCATTTCAACACTTGATATACTGTGTTTGGTGTATCAAGAAAGTTCACCAGAATTTTATCAGAACAGCAGTGGAGTAAGCCTTGGACTTTCGCGCATGTCGATCTGGCATGCGGACATGTTTTTCAACGCTCATAAAAATGTGAGAAACTCGTCGAAACAGTATATTCTAAATAAGATTTTTAACTTTTTAGCTATCTTTATTTACTGCTATTGTTATGTTTTAAATTATTTACAAGTAAATCAAGCTCAAAACGAATCAAATATGGAATCTGCTACTACCAACGAGAAAATAGACGAAATACTTTGATACTAAAAGGAGTTCAATCACAGACATCGCAACACACCGAGAATTTTGAAAAATTGGAAAAGCGATTGATGGTTTTTGAAAAGTCAATAGAGTTCATCAATACCCAGTATGAAAACCAAAGGAAAATAAGAAATACCATCCTCAACAAAAACACAAAATTGGAAGCCGAAAATGACGTGCTCAAAAAACAAGTTGGAAAGCTACAAGCAGAAATAAATAGAGTCCAAAAACGAAGTCAACAAACTAGAACAGTACGGCCATCGAGACTGTGTTGAAATAAATGGAATTCCTAAGGAAGAAAACGAGAGAACAGAGTCTTTGGTGATTAAGCTGGGTGAAAAGCTAGGGGTGAAATGCCCTGCTACAGAAATTCAAGCCTGCCACCGTGTCGGACCAAAGAACGACGCTACGATCATCTGCAAATTTGGAAATAGGAAATTGAGAGATGCTTTCATGCAAAAAAGAAAAGAGACAAGAAACATCTCAGGAAAAGATGTTGGGTTGAAAGCTGCTGACGTTAAAGTATTCATCAACGAATCTTTAACCAAAAAAAATAAGTATCTTTTTAAACTGACAAGAGATAAGAAACAGGAAATCAGATAGGACTTCGTGTGGACCAGGAATGCGGTCATCTTTGCCAGAAAAAATAAGGATTCGGCATTTGTTACTATCAGAAATGAATTGGACATTACAAAAAAGATTGTTTAAAACTCAGGTGATGCCGTATAAAGTTTACTCATGCTAACACTTCATGTCTTTCTTGTTGTTTCAGATTAGGCCCTTTACTATTACCATTATTATTTTTATCATTATTAACATTAATATTTTTTTTATTACTAGCATTTTATCACCAGTATCAAGGCAGGGCAAACAGATTTTCATAATTAACCCCCACAATCTAAATGAGTAGTTATTCATATTCATGCCCGAACTGCAAATTATTGGTTCTGGAGAGTCAGAATTCAATATATTGTGACGCATGTTGCAATTGGTATCACGTTAGGTTAGCAAATTATCGATTCAAAGATTTAAAGAACTAGGAAATCACACCTCTACGGCATGGTTTTGTAAAGACTGTGTTGCAGATGCGTTACCTTTTCAAAAAATGAGAAATGTTCCATTCTTAAGAGCAATTTCCGCAGACAAGAAGCAACACCACTCGATTATTGACTCTAACAAATCCTGCTCTGTTTGCGATAAACGTGTTAATAATATTGAAAAAGCGGTTCCTTGTTATCATTGTCAAAGCTATATTCACATCAGGAAATGCTCTGGTTTAACAGAACAAGATATTTTAAATCTAGGTGCTGACGCACAACAATGGCTTTGCCCTAGCTGTCGCGACCATGTTTTTCCTTTCAATTCTGTTCACGCTCAGGATATTCTTTCCAGTAAAAACTTCAATTCTAATGAGCTATGTCCAAGTAATGACGTAACAAAAGACCTGACAGACTACAAAGGTTTAGAAACTATTACAGAATTGAATCTAGATAAACTTGATCTTAATCATTTTCATTCCAATGCAGATAACAATATTGATCAAAACTTAAACTTAGATGCTAATTTCAAATTTTATACAACGCGTGAATTTCATAAGTTAACTAAGAAACTAAATTCTGAACATTCACCCTTTTTTAGTCTGATGCACACAAATATTTGCTCTTTGAATAAAAACTTTGAAAATTTAGAGTTATTAACTACTTCATTAGAACATAAATTTGACATTATTGCTCTATCTGAAACATGGATAACCAATAACAATGAATCAAATACTGAAAATTTAACCTTACAAGGGTATCAAAAATACACAGGAACATCTGGTAAAAGCATGAAAGGGGGCTGCGCCTTTTTTGTATCTGAAGAACTATCTTTTCATCCTCGAGAGGACTTAAATATTTCTCACTCAGATAATAGTAGTGAGTTTGAAGCAAACTGGATCGAAATTAAATCTCAGAACAATAAAAACTTCTTGATTGCTATTATTTATCGTCACCCAAAGAAAAGAAATGATGTTGAATTCCTAGAATATCTAACAAACATAATCTCTAGTAAACTTCGAAAGGAAAAGAAGACAGTCTTTATTACTGGATATTTCAATATTAATCTTTCAAACATTGATTCAGGTGAATACACCGAAAAGTTTATAAATCTCATGCTTTCAAACTTTTTCCAGCCACATATACTCCAGCCCACTAGAATTATCAATAGTAATAAACCATCATTGATTGACAATATTTTTTTAAATTCAATAGAACATGAAACAGTAAGTGGAAATTTAATAACAAAAATCTCTGATCAATTACCAAACTTTATATTTTGTAAAAGTATCAACTTAAAATCAAAAAGTAAAAACAGAGGTTTTTATCGCGACTATAGCAATTTTAACCTAGATTCATATATACATGACTTGCGCCAATCAAACTTGGATGAAAAATTAAACTTAATTCAAGGTGCAGACGAGCAATATAACATTTTTCATGATATACTAATTAATAATATGCAAAAACATGCTCCATTAAAACCTGTTTCACAAAAAATGTACAAACAAAGACTAAAACCTTGGATAACCAAAGGAATCTTGAAGTCAATCTCGATTAAAAATAAACTTTACAAAAAATTTCTTAAAACAAAAAAGTCAATCTGGTATCAAAAATACAAATACTACCGAGATTTGATAAATCATATTATAAGGAAAAGTAAGAAAAGCTACTATGCCTCATATTTTGATAAATTTCAAAACAATTCTAAGAAACTCTGGTGTGGTGTGAAAGAGATCATAAATACACAACCAAATAAAAGAAACAACGGAATAAGTTTAAACATAAATGGTAGGGTTGAATCAGATAATAAAACTGTTGCTAACTTTTTCAATAAATATTTTACAACTGTAGCACAAAAGTTAATAGATAAACTTGGACCATCAACAAAACATTTTAAAGACTATTTATCAAATCCGAATCCAGAGAGCTTCTTTCTTGACCCTGTAACCCCTGAAGAAGTAAATGACATCATTGCAAATCTAGATGAAAACAAATCAAATGATTCGTATGATATTCCCTCTAAACTTATAAAATTGTTCCGTATGACTATTTCAGGGCCTTTTGCACTTATCGCCAATTCAATCTTTCTCTTGGTGCCTTTCCAGAAAAATTAAAATTTGCAAAAGTTACGCCTATTCATAAAGGTAAATCCAAGTTAGAATTAGGAAACTATCGACCTATCTCAATTTTACCTATCTTCAGCAAAATACTTGAAAAGTTAATGAACGTTCATATGGTTAAATTTCTGAATAAAAAAAATGATTTTTGAACATCAATATGGCTTTCAGGAAAACAAATCTACATCTTTAGCAATTTTAGACCTTCAATCACAACTAATCAATAATATTGAAAATAAAATGTTTTCTTGCAGCATATTTCTAGATTTTTCAAAGGCTTTCGATACAGTTAACCAGGGGCAGATCCAGCTCAAATTTTGAGGGGTGCTTAAGTTTTTAGCAGTTGAGGCAAGACGCCACGCCCTTTTCAGTTGCCAGGTAACGCCCTTTTCAGTTGCCAGGTAACGCCCTTTTCAGTTGCCAGGTAACGCCCTTTTCAGTTGCCAGGTAACGCCCTATGGCCTTACTTAAGAAATTTTACTCGATCGGTTGAAGTCTCAATAACTACCAAGAAAACTACATATAAATCCATTTACATTCTGATATCATAAAAACGAATTTATCAAACAAAATATCTTCATCAAATTATTAACGATTTAATGAGCAACTATCCCATACAACTTTGACGGGTCAAACTCAGGATTTCTGAAACAATGAAAACCTAAATGTTTAATGAGCAACGAACGAACGCCACTTTGATGGGTCAAATTCAGGGTATCTCAAACAACGACAACTAAAATGTTTAAATGAGCAACAAGCGCAGATGACTTTGATGGGTAATAATCAGGGTATCTCAATCAACGACAACTAAAATGTTTATTTGAGCAACAAACGCAGACCACATTGATGGGTCAAATTCTGGGTATCTTAAACAACGAAAACTCAAATGAATAGATGAGCAACAAACGAAGACTACCACGATGAATGGAAGTCATAATAGCTCGATGAAAAACAACGCAGACCATATGGCTGGTCAGCAACGATTCAGATTTTGAATGCCCCAAAAGCACAAAAATTGAACTAGAAACTAATGTAGACCAGTTAGGTGAGTTAAAGCCAAAGTAAAGAAAACAGCAACTGATGTTGAAAGCAGAAACAGCCTTAGATAGGTCAGAGCCATTAGCTTGTAGTATGTACTTTGCTGGTACTTATTCACAGTCAGGATCTGTGTTTAATATGTCAATCAACTTCATCCATCTAGGATGCCTTCTCGCAAAACAATCAATTATCTCATCAGTATTGATCCTGACTTCTCTATGAACGCATAGCAGAGCTAGCCCATTTGATCTTTGTTGCAACATGGTGTTTCGAAGGTATGTCTTTAGCCTGCGAAGAACAGAAATAGACCTCTCGCAAGTGCATGTTGTTACTGGCAATGTCGCTAGGATCTGGAAACAAGCATATATATTTGGGAATGTTAATTTGTCAATTTTCAGAAGAAGTGCAGATAATGTTGATGGGATGTTTTTTGAGGATTGTCAATGGTCTTTCCACATCATCAGTTCGGTCTTGATATATCTTGGCTCAGGAAGATCACTGATATAAAGATCGAGAAAAGAGCCGAATCTGTTTTCCCACTCAGGAGAAGCTGCAATCATATTCGGCATACCGTAAAATCCGTCTAAAACCGACATGTTTCTATCAGAGAAACGAGCTTGCATTTGGCCTGACAAGTGATCCAAGAAAGGGATTGCAACATTTCGTTTATAATATTGAGAGACTGATTCAGAAGGAGCATTAGACCGGTTAACTTGCGTTAGAACAGTGCGAGGCATCGCAGGAAAAATGTAGTTTGTTTCAGCAATAGATGCTGCCTCGTCATACCAGCCTAGATAAATATCATCAATTTCAGATCGTAAGCGATGTAGAGAAGTACACGTCAACGAAATCTTCTCTTTTGCAGCAACAACATCAAACGAGACCTTTTGAAATTGTTTAGTGAGAGGCCTGGTAATTTCAAGACAGCGTGAAACAACGACAAGTACCAATATGAACTGAAAAGATGTTGTTGAATAGAACAAACCACTCGCGTCACGGACCGAATCAGAATTCCACGATTTGTCTAAATTTAGCATGATAGTTTCGAGAGACCTTACAACGGCATCATAGAGCTCCAGAAATACATCTAGCCCATCAATTCTCTCGCCCCACCTTGTCCGGCAAACATCGATGAGGTGGCTGCGACGCGAAGCAGGAAGCACCTCTCTGATGACTTTCTTCAGGATTTCAAATCGTGTAGTGCTTGAATTGAAAAATTCTGTGACAACATGCACATGCCCCATCATGTTTCTGACAACCTGAATCTTACAAGCGGAGGCTACGCAAAGATTTAGCACATGCGATCCAGAATGAGTGTAAGGAGCATTAGGATGTGACTGGCATATCCTAGCAGCAGCTCCAGAGCATTTGCCTGCCATGTTGCCAGCACCGTCATACCCCTGGCCACGACAAAGGTTCATGTCTAAACCAAAACCTTCAACAGCCTGAAGAATTGTATTGGCTATATCTTTGCCTTTCATGCCTTCAGAACAGGGAATAAAGCCCATAAACTCTTCGCGAATTTTTGCCTGATTGTCAACAAACCGGATGACGAGGGGCATCTGTTCAATATTACTAATATCTGCTGCCTCATCAGCAAGAACCGAAAAGAACCTAGCTTCATGAATCTCTGACCGAAGCTTAGAAATGATAAACTCGCCACAGATGTTGATTAGCTCGTTTTGAGTAGTTTTAGATCTGTATGTCATGTTTTTGGGGGCATTCGTCATTTGCTCGTTAAATGCTTCATTGTTACCACAGCGGACAAGAAATTTCAACAATTCTTGCAAATTACCAGGATTATGTGAATTGTCATCGTAATGAGCAGAATCGTCCCTGTGACCCCGAAATGAAATATTTTGACGTCCAAAAAGCATAATACCTTCCACAATCGGAAATAGCTTGGCCCGATTCTTTCTTATTTGTTCATCAGTTGATTGTTCAAAGCATTGAGTTGTTGATCAATGGGCTTGCATTTTTGCTCCATAACGAGACGAAATTGAGTTGCTCTGAGTGTGGCAGAACGGTGAACATTTGATTTTGCAGCATGGTCACGGAACTTTTGCAAAGCTTTTGACCACGCAGTGAGTGGTGATGTAAATAAGTGGTCAAGCTTGTTTTCCCCATGCTGACTTTTCTCAGGAATGCCAAAAACTAAGCAGTTGATGCAAAAGGCACCATCAACATGTTTGGAGTAAGCAAGCCACAGAAACTCTGCAAGCCATTTGTGTTGAAACTTACGACGTGTAGAATTGACAGGAAATAGATAGCCAGGCTCAGGTTTCCAGTGATTTTAAAGGACCTCATATTTCTGCTCATTATTCAAACTTTTACAATATTTGAAGCATTCACCAACATCAACTTGAAAAGGTACAGTAAAAGAGTTCAATGTTATTTGATCCTTCTCTGGGGGCGTGTCAAGAGAAGTTTGAGAAACAAAAGTGTCTGAGGACGAATACTCTTGCTGAGGTCTAACTAATTCTGAAGGGAAATCAGCTGATAGACCTTTTACTTTGAAGTTCTCCAGGGTTGACTGTTTTCTCCTTTTAAATGGAGGACCTGGGGCATCTTGAACTTTGCTGTTTGGTAGGCTGAGAGGTAGTATTGGAAGCACAGAAGCCTCTTTGCTTATTTCAGAGAAGCAATCTGGCATGGAAAAATCAACATTATGCAAATTCTTGGGGAGAAGTGGGACATAATGATTATAAGGTAGAGAATGTTTGCCTTTACCCAAAAAATTAGCTGGTGTAGTAGAGCAGCGAAGAATGTGAATTTTGTGATTCGATGCGAGAGCTGATGTGCGTGGAGAAATTGTGCAATTGAAAAAATATTCGTACATGTTATTACCACCAATATCACTGCCATTTCCAACAGGGTAGTAACTTTCAATTGTCATACCCAGGACACTAGATAATGCAAGCATGCACAACATTGATGAAAATGTAAACGACTTTGCATTATGAATGGCTTCAGAAAATCACATATTTAACTAAGTTTCCAATTCAATAAGTGACCATTGGTATACATCAAATGTAAATTTCCAAACATGAAGAAAAGACACATTACATCAACCTCATGAACTGGTCCAACCAACAAAATTTGTTTTGTTTGCAGCAAAATATTTTAATTTCATCAGCAAACAATAAACCAAGGAATAAAAGTATATGATATGTGATGACTGAAATCTCTAGTTAACAAAGTCTATAATTTGTTGCAATTTCTTAATTGTTTTCAAACAAGAATTCTGAATGAAATGGCCCAAAGGAGATGTAAAATTTCAACCTTGAATTTTGCTGGAAAAGGGGCTTTTTCAAACATCAGTGTCAAAATTTCAATTACTTTCACTGTTTGGTCTCACAGTGAAATCACGAGGGGGTTCCTGCACCACATTCAGAAATGGCACCAAAAGACTCATAAAGATTCCTATCAATGAATTTGGTCCTTCAAATCTTTAATGTTCAGATTTTATTTTGTGTGTATGCCAAAAAATACAATATCAGTGTAAGATATAAATAAGTCAAACACATTTGAATTCAAACAAAAATTGAAATAAAAACATTTTAATCTCACCCCTTGTCTATTTTATTTGCATTCCAAAACATTCTTAAGACTTGTTTTAGCTTTCTTGAAACACACTTTTATGGTACAATTTTCAAATTAATTTAGCTTATTAAAGAATTTAAGTGCTAGTTCTGTGACAGCATTTAAAATTATTATTGAAATTGTCATACAATGACATGGTTAAGGTGTGTACCCGTCCACCACATTGCTGCCTCTATGGTTTCAAAAATTGTCTATTGCAAAACCTAAAGTACAGCAGCAGGTCTGCTCAAAACTAAGATCAAAGGAAAGGAAGATTCACAATTTACAGATTGAAAAATACATATCCGTAGCATTTTATATCAGCTAATTTCAAAACTTGATTTCTACCTCTCATGATATTAATTATTGAGATGACTTTTGCGAGGACCCTTTGTTCATACCTCACACCCCTAGACCGTCAATCGTTTTAAAAGCCACCCTCCTCACTCCCACTGCCTGGAAAACATTAAGAAGAACGAGACCCAGCTTACGGCCTGAAAATTTTCTGCTCCAAGTCTGTTTGTTACGCACTTTGGAAACTGCACGAAAGCTGAGTTATCCACTCCTAAACTGCTACCCTTCGCCGATTTTTCTACATCATAAAAAATGGCCCGTGTTTCTTTGAAAATTTCTTCCCTTATGGCTTCGAGTTTAGGGGCGTCACAGTCTGAATAGCCTGCCCTCAAAATTGATTGCAGTTGTTTGTAACCCTCGATCGCCATTTTACTACAGTAAACAACCGCAACTTTACTTTGAACAGGCAATATATGAGAATTTGAACAACGATTGACAATAGGGGGTGCTCCCGCCAAAAGTGAGCACCTGCAACATCTAATGGCGATTGGCTGTTTGTCAATCGCGGGTGCTCAAGCACCAACACTGATTGGTTACTGCAATTTTGCCGTAGCATAAAGCTCAGACCGGGGGGTGCTGGAAATCTTACAATAATAAAAAGCTGTATAATCTGGTCCGTAAATTAACAGACTTAAGTAGACAGGTTGCAATGTGAGGATGTGGTCTGAAAGTGCTTAAAAATAAGTTGACATCAAAGAAACGAGGTAAAAACAAAATTTCAATTCAATCTTGATTGAATTTTAAATCGAAACATTTGAGGGGTGCTCGAGCACCTGTAGCACCTCCCTAGAGCCGCCCCTGAGTTAACCATGATATTTTGCTAGAAAAATCAGAACATTATGGTTTCAGAGGTATTACTTACTTGTGGTTTAAATCATACTTAACTAAAAGAACCCAAATAGTTACAATTAATGCCGTTATGCAAATGAGCTTACTATCAATTGTGGTGTTCCACAAGGGAGTGTACTTGGGCCACTATTGTTCTTGATTTATATAAATGACATTTATAAATCTTCTCAAATTCTTCAGTTTCGACTATTTGCAGATGACACCATTATTTTATTGGCTAACAAAAATCTTGATATCCTAGAACAAACCACCAATTCGGAGTTACAGAGGGTACTGTGTGGTTATTGGCTAATAAGCTATCGCTAAATGTATCTAAATCGAACTTCTTGCTGATAAGCTCTCGTAAAACTGATAGAAACATAAAATTATAAATTAATAACAGAGATCTCAAACAAGAAAATTACACTAAATATCTTGGAATAATAATTGATAATAAGCTTACCTGGAAATTGCATATAAAGCAAATAAATTTAAAATTATCAAAAGGAATCGGAGTGCTATATAAATTAAGACATCTGGTACCAAAACAATCTCTTAAGACTTTATACTCCTAATTCATTCAATCACATGTACTATATGGTATATTAAATTGGGGTTGTGCTAATAAAACTACCCTGGAACCTTTAAAACGTAACTTACGAAAAGCAGTTAGAGTGATTGACTTTGCGAACTTCACTGCACATAGTGAACCTATATTTAAACGTCTTAAAATATTTAACTTTGATCAACTTTACTTGCTTGAGACAGCAAAAATGATATATCAAATTAGCTCTGACAAAACTTCTCTTGAAGGCGAGTTTGTAAAAACAAAAAATGTACACAATTATAATACACTGCAATCTTCTTCTGAAGGTTTTTCTCTTCCATCCATCTCTACAAACTTTAAAAAAAACTTTCTCACTTTCGATGGTATTTAATTTTGGAACTCCCTACCTATACAGTTAAAAAAGATGGATAATAAACACCACTTTGTGAAACAGATGAAATATTTTCTTACGAACAAAATTTGACATCTGTAGGCTTGATTACTTTATGATTTTTCTATAATTGCACTTAGCTGTTATTACAATATTCAAATAGTTTTATTTTTATTTCATCTACTTTATTTTGTTCTTGTTATATCTTACTGTTATTATTCAAACTTAAAATCGTCATTATAAACACGTCAATTTGGATACATGGCTCGATAGCTTGCCCAAAGTTCTTTCCATGTGTCCATCAGCCTAAAATTGTTTAATTCTCATTGCTGTTCTATAAAATATTGCGATTGACCATTCATTGTTATTTAGCCATATTAACTTGGATATTTTATATTTAGTATAATTATGTTAACCGGTATATTGTAATTAATCAATTTTATGTTGAAAAAAATATTTTGAGTTTGAGTTTGAGTAAGCCCCAAAAATTTTCCAGCATCTAAAGTTCTGTGTCATGCTAATATAGAGTTTGATCAAGGGTCAAAAACTTTCAAACTGCCTGAGCCAGAGCTGGAAGCTCTTAAAAAGACAGTTTCTGGAAATGCAAATGAAATTTGTGTGCAAACGACCAGGATTACACAACATAAAAGGGCTGAAAGTGCCAATAATTATTTTAATGGAACATTTCTTGAAATTGGAGCCAAGCGCCAACTTTGAGGTCCCAAAGGACAAGGACCACAATAAACCATTTCCATTAAGGGAATCCAGTCATGTAAAAGGTTAAAGAGCAACTTTGATTTGGTGCCTCTCAGGGATTAGCCAATAAGATAACAAAACACCTTGTTGTTGCATGTCAGCACAGTTTTTGCACTTTCTTGGATTACATAACATAAATTTAGAACAAAGGGCATACAAAAGTTGTTTGGAGTTTTTGTTGTGTCTTGAGAAATGTTCTGTGTTTTGCAGAATTATGGGTAGACTTTTACTCATTTTTGCGGAATTATGAGTCACATTTTTCCAGACATGTGCAGAATTATGGGTCTAAATTTCGAACCAAAATGGCACATCCCTGTCCAAAACTAGGCTTAGTTAATCATTTTGCTAGGCTTACTTGATGTCAATCTGTTTTTTTTTCATTTTTTATTGGATCTTTAGCTACTGCAATGCTGCTTTGA